GTTTCGGGGGCCCTATGCAGCTTGCATATTTTGTGTATAGGGAGGATCGGCTCTGGTCCGAATTAATTCATGTTGGAAGCAGATAACAGTTCACACAAAAGTGAAAATTCTGCCATTATTTACTTGTTCCAAACCTGTTTTTTTCTTTCCGCTGAACACAAAAGAAGATATTTTGAATAATGTTGGTAACCAAACCGATGACGGTAACCACTGACTTCAACAGCATTTTTTTTCCATACTAGTCAAGTCATCTTTATTTATATGGCACTTTATACAATACAGATTGTGTCAAAGGAGCTTTACACAGTATTAAACAGAAAAACATAATGCAAGAGGACAATAATAAACACTCAATTTTTCAATTAAAGTCAGTTCATCAATAGCTGCGTTTACATGGACCCTACTAATCCGATCGTAATAGGACTAGAAGCACAATCAGAATAAAAAAAGTCACATGTAACCAAGTCAATCAGATTGAATTGGCCAGATCCGATTCAGCTCAGTCATCGTCCAGCTCAGCAATCAAGTCGACAATAATGTTAGAAATGAAGTTTCCCCAACTAAGCAAGCCAAAGGCGACAGTGGCAAGGAACCAAAACTCCATCGGTGACAGGAATGGAGAGAAAAAAAAACCTTGGGAGAAACCAGGCTCAGGCAAGGGGCCAGTTCTCCTCTGGCCATTACTATGGTCATTGTATGAAAGTCAAAGGCTAATGTCAACTGTCTGGTTACCAACATACTTCAATACTTCAAATTTTATGTTTACCAGAAGAAACACTATCATTTTTACTGTATATTATGTTTTGATGTCTAATATAAAATGTTAAAATGTTTTACTAAAAAGAAGAACAAGCAAAACCATACAGATTTTTAATAACTTAATACATTATAGTATTGGCCATAACTCAAGCTCAAACATTTCTCATCAAACTCTTCCAAGACCAAATTAATCTGATTAATTCTGCAAAAACGAAACCTTTGAGCAATAAAATGTCCTCTGGATTGTTTCAGCTCCCCTAACTTTAAACGTTAAAACCAGTCCCATTTCAAAGCTTTCAGAGAAAAATTGCAAATGCGCACACTGCGTTGTATCGAAAATGTTTTATTGTCTATTTGCAGTTTAACCACAAACAAATTATGAGGAAAAATTTCATCCAGACATAGTTACTTAAAAATGAAACGGAGACACTGTAACTGATATTTCATCAATGCTACACATGAACAGCTCACTCCATTTCAAGACTCCAGTTACACCAGAAATGACACTTGAGTTGCAGAGAGGTTATAATAAATGACTTAACTTTGACATGTCACAGCCCAGAAATTAATATTCTCACAAACATTAAATTCATTACTTAACTACAATGCTGAAGAAATGTGAGATGCGTTTAGAGCTACTGAGCATTTACAGGACTTCAGTGATATAATCGGGGCAAGAGCTATACTTCAGATACATTTTAAGGGAATAATTATATTTAAACAGCAAATGCATTTAATACTAATAATACTCAGGACAAGAACAGCTGTCTACTTCTGTGACAAAGACAGTACTGACTACAGGCATTACAGCATTTACCGTTTAGGTATCTAATTTTCATTGGATTGTTAAAATATCTACTGCTCTGTCTGTGTAATACAAATTAATATTTATTTAATCTGCTTTCATACTTGGCCTCCTGGCTCTGGTCCAAAAGTGAAAATTCTGCCATTATTTACTTGTTCCAAACCTGTTTTTTTCTTTCCGCTGAACACAAAAGAAGATATTTTGAATAATGTTGGTAACCAAACCGATGACGGTAACCACTGACTTCAACAGCATTTTTTTTCCATACTAGTCAAGTCATCTTTATTTATATGGCACTTTATACAATACAGATTGTGTCAAAGGAGCTTTACACAGTATTAAACAGAAAAACATAATGCAAGAGGACAATAATAAACACTCAATTTTTCAATTAAAGTCAGTTCATCAATAGCTGCGTTTACATGGACCCTACTAATCCGATCGTAATAGGACTAGAAGCACAATCAGAATAAAAAAAGTCACATGTAACCAAGTCAATCAGATTGAATTGGCCAGATCCGATTCAGCTCAGTCATCGTCCAGCTCAGCAATCAAGTCGACAATAATGTTAGAAATGAAGTTTCCCCAACTAAGCAAGCCAAAGGCGACAGTGGCAAGGAACCAAAACTCCATCGCTGGAGACATCATGCTGGTTAGTTCTTTATGGGGAAATACACACACATACACACTCTCATTCAGACAATGACCCAAACCAGAGCGATCTAAAATGAATAAACAATTATTTACATATATTTATAGATCTTATATGCAACTTTATACACACAATAAAAATGATGCTTGTGTTTACAAAATAAAAATAATTAAAAAAATTGTCTGATGCTACAAGAAAAAATAAGCACGACGTAAGCAGGTTACAGATGCTAAGCAAATTAGTATGGTTAGATAAATAAAAAAGTGCTAATTAATTAGTTCCTTCAGCACCGGAGCTCCTTAATACCACTTTGAAACAACTGTGCTTAGCATGTAAACACAAGCAGACAGCAAGACAGACGTCACTTCCAGTGATCTGAATGCCAGATATCTACAGACTGCAGATCGCTGTGATAAACAAGCTACCAATGCTTGAAGAAACAATAAAAAGTTCATTTACTAAAGACTCAAACTACTAGGAACAGAAATTAGCACCAAGTAAAAATTATTTGAGAGCAACAAATGAGCCTCATTTATACTGATTGCACGTAATCTCTAAGTAGAAAGGTATGTTGTTCGTCTTGTCAAAATGTATCATGATGACAGTTTCCCCTTTTTCTCAATACGGAACTATGAAACTCCACTTTAAAAAGAACAAAGGTGAATATGGTCACAATTCACTCTACAATAAAAAAAATAAAAATAATTATATATATGTAATATTGTAATGTTTTTTTAATTTAATGTAAATTTAATTTTGTAGTAATTACTGTAGTATTACAATATATATTACAATAAACAATATATATAATATATATATATTGTATATTATAAAATATATATTGTATACATATATATATATATATTATTACAATAAACAATAACTAATGCAATGATTTTTTTATGAAATCAGCATTGCAATAAGCATAATTAAAGACATTATAAAAATTCCTAATGTATAAATAATTTACAATTTAAATATTTTTATTTTCATATTAAATGTGCTTGATTGTCATGAAAATAATGTCACAATGTAAAAAAAATCTTAATGGTACTAAAGTTACTAAAGTTTTCTTTATACAAAATATAACTTATTTTTTTATTTCTTTTGATTTTAAGGGTGAAATATGACCCAGGTATGCTCTTGTTAAAAATGTTTTTTGCGCCCCTGTTGAGTTGGGTTTTTGCTGCAAATACTTATTTATGGTAGCTGATTTTATTATAGAAGTGCAAAGTATCAATGAATATGTGGAAAATATTTGTAAATGGGGAAAACTCAACTCAGGAATCCAAATGTTCAAAATCCTTCCAGTAGTTCAATGGGTGAACTGTCTACAGTCACAGTGTAGTCAGGGGAACAGGGGACAATACAGCGATGAGGGTTGCAGGACAGAGGAGGGCTGACCTCTTATTTTTCCTCTATTAAAAAACATCAAAATATAATTTAATACCTAAAACCCTCCAGCTCTCTGTACCTCTGCCTGCCTGAAGGTTCCTGAATCCTGAGGTGAGCTGCACTAGTAAACGCACAAGTCCGGGAACTTCATCTCATAAACGGGGACAGAGCGACTCTGGGTTTGGCCGTAACTTGATGTGATGGTTCCAGATGGACTGGGAGGAGGCCTGCAAGCAAGAAAGAGTGAAAAGATAAGATTTATCAGCACATATCTTTCAGAGAGACGGCTGACGTTTGAAATGAGCCGTGCTGCAACCTACCTAATCGTGATTTCAAAGATTTGATTAAGTTTACTCTGCAGCATTGTAGCCTGGGAGGAAACAGAAGAACGAGTATTAGCCCAAAATTACAATATTGAGCTGATCAGTGTGGGAGAAGACAACAACGGCATACATTTTCATGAAATAAAAGGAAAAGTGCAACAAGTTAACTTACTCTGGCACCACAGTGGGCAGCTATTTCCTCAAAGGGGGCCTTCTGGAACTTCTCAACCACCTGTCTCCTGCGTTCCTTCTCCTGTTCCTCCACGCCTACACTATCCACTGGAGAATACACACATATTAACACTGTTCAGCCAAAGGGTAAGTTAACAAAGCAATAATGTGCAAACGATTGCATGCAGGTTCTGGAAATATCTGGAGGGACAATTTAGTCTAAGTCTAATTCTCATTAAATCAACCTACCAATGGCGTTTTTTAGTGTTTCAAATGTGATTTCTTCAGCTGGTGTTCTCTGTAGGGAAACAAAACAAACATCAGAACAATACTGTTCCCATAATTCAACTATATCTGATAAAACCTTATTCTGGGGATAACCAGAAAATATTATATTGTTAAACTATATAAATCATATATAAGTTAGGATTAGTCTGTGGTACCTTATTATAAAAATAACTGTCTATTTTGTGTCTTCTTAAATTTAACTAGATAACTGTGTGAGTGGGTTTGTTTTGCTATACCTGTGAATGACAAATTTCCGAAATTGTCCTCATAAAAAAAACCTCTTTAAACCAAGTCCTTGAGTAAGATGTTAATCCTCACCAGAAAAACGTGTTCATAAATGTCCCTGTAATGCCTTCATTAAAGTTTAAACACACCAAATGTGTCTGTGAGTGTTGTATATTTTTATGTTTTCATTTACCTCCTCTTTCTCGGGACTGTTTCTGGACTCTACCTCCACCTGAAGAGATATTGTTTCTCCAATGCTCTTTCTTTTTGACAGCCGGTCCTCATCTAAGGGAAGAGCGTGGAATTAATCAACTGTTTATGCGATCTATCTGTCAGGCGGCTAATAAGCAGAAACAACTTTAGTCTAAAGCTAATCAGACTAAAGCTAATCAGTTAATCTTCAATGCAAATGTCTTAAAGGGGTCATATGATGCGATTTAAAATTTTCCTTTCTCTTTGGAGTGTTACAAGGCTGCTTATCTACAATAGCGACAACACGAATTTCATTGTTTTCTGGAAAACCACATAAAAGGCACACACAGTACATTTAGAGTGTGTTGTGACATTTTCAAGTGAAAAAAAAAAATTCAGTGGGTAACAATAAAGAACAAGTTATCCATTGGGATTTGATTGGTGCATGATAATTGTGTACAATAATAATTTTGTGCACAAAAAGACCAGAGACATTTTTACGTGGTGTATGATGTGGCACAAAATGCTCATCTATGCACCTGTGAACTGTGGGACATAAGGTGTAGCTAGTCGCTCAGTGTTATAGCCGCTGCCACCAAGAACCTCAGTGATCTTGGCCTGTTGAAACAACAGCTCTCCTTCCAGCTTCTCCAGTGTCTTAGGAATCCTGGGAAATCAACAGAGTACAAGCAAATCATAATTTATGATGTACATACATATAAATAAATAAATAAATACATACATACATACATACATACATACATACATACATACATACATACATACATACATACATACATACATACATACATACATACATACATACATACATACATACATACATACATACATACATACATACATACATACATACATACGTCAACCGCTCAAAATTTTGTAGATTTTTAAAATGTTTTTGTAAGAAGTCTCCTGTATTCACCAAGACTGCATTTATTTGACCGAAATACAGTAAAAACAATATTTTGAAATATTTGTACAAAAATTAAATTCTCTTTGAAAACGTAATTTATTCCTGTGATGCAAAGCCGAATTTTTAGCATCATTACTCCAGTCTTTAGTGTCACATGATCCTTCAGAAATTGTTCTAATATGCTGATTTGCTGCTCAAGAAACATTTCTTATAATGTTGAAAACAGTTGTTCTGCTTCATATATATTTTTGTGTAAATTGTGATTTTTGTTCAGGATTCTTTGATGTATAGAATACGCATAACAGAGGAATAGCATTTATTTAAAATGGAAATCTTTTGAAACGTTATAAATATCTTTCTTGTCACTTCTGGTCAATTGAATGCATCCTTGCTGAATAATAGAACATAATATATATCATTAAACAAAACAATTCCGATGACTCGTAGTTTGTCTTACTTTGGGTTTTCAATGAAGACATCCTCAGGTAACAGGTAAGGACTTTCTTTTTGTCTCATTTCAATCACCTGCAAAAAGGTTTATACAATTTATGCATGTACAATTTTAATTCAAATACAGTTGATGAGAACAAACTGTTAGTAAGTACAGAGACTCCAGAGTGGCACTGACCTCATGAACGTGCTGGCAGAACGCTGGCACTGTGGTGAGCTGACTGATGAGATTGAGGTAAGCAGAGGACAGAGCATGAACAGCACAGCGGTTATACACCGGTAGCGTCTCCTCACTGCTCAGAGCCAAGTCCTGGACAGAAAGCGACACAAGAAGATTAGAAAAAATAGAAGTCTTTTGAAACGTTATAAATATCTTTCTTGTCACTTCTGGTCAATTGAATGCATCCTTGCTGAATAATAGAACATAATATATATCATTAAACAAAACAATTCCGATGACTCATAGTTTGTCTTACTTTGGGTTTTCAATGAAGACATCCTCAGGTAACAGGTAAGGACTTTCTTTTTGTCTCATTTCAATCACCTGCAAAAAGGTTTATACAATTTATGCATGTACAATTTTAATTCAAATACAGTTGATGAGAACAAACTGTTAGTAAGTACAGAGACTCCAGAGTGGCACTGACCTCATGAACGTGCTGGCAGAACGCTGGCACTGTGGTGAGCTGACTGATGAGATTGAGGTAAGCAGAGGACAGAGCATGAACAGCACAGCGGTTATACACCGGTAGCGTCTCCTCACTGCTCAGAGCCAAGTCCTGGACAGAAAGCGACACAAGAAGATTAGAAAAAATACTGAAATACATCTCCACTGAACCATATAGTTTATGACGAAACAAAAAACTAGACCAGAGTGAATTTGGGTAACATTAAAACCCTTCCATGTGAAATAGAGGTGAAAATCATGTGAAAATCAGATAATTCATTTCGGTAACATCTAATGCTGCCTTGTCGGATAAAGTGACCCTGCTGAATGTGAGCAGCTGTTCATATCAGACTAAAATGCTTCCCTGGATATAAAATAGAGGAGGTTAGACATAAACAGAGTGAATGTGGGTAGCATTCAATTCTGTGTGAAATAGAGGGAGATAACTTATTTCTCAAATCCTGCCTTGTAAGGTTTGGTGACCCAGTTGTATATCTGCAGCTGTTCATATCAGAGCAAAGTTGTTTTTAAGATATAAAATACTGGTGGCTAGACATCACCAGAGTATATTTGGGTAGCAGTAAAGCCATTGTGTGTGAAATAGAGGAGAGTGACAGATTTTGGTACATTTTCATGCTGCCTTGTTGGATTTGGTGACCCTGCTATATTTCCACAACTGTAAAATGCTTCATAGGATATCAAATAGAAAAGGTTAGAAATTACCTAAGTGAATTTGGGTAACATTAAAGCCATTGTGTGAGAAACAGAGGGAGAGAACTGATTTCGGTAACGTCTAATGTTGCCTTATCGGATTAAGTGACCCTGCTGTATATCTAGAGCTGATTCATATCAGACTTAAACGCTTCCCTAGATGCATAATATAGAAGATTAGACATCACCAGAGTGAATTTGGGTATCATTCAAACTATTGTGTGTGAAATACATGGAGGTAATGAATTTCTGCAACATCTAATGCTGCCTTGTCAATTAGGAGCACACTAGATTATAGATAACCTTAAGGCTAAGACATACATACTAAAAGCCACTAAACCTAAACTTTATTTCATGGTGACTTTAAGAGTGTAATCACAATGAGGGTGCACCTGCAGAGCGAGCGCCACACGGATCAGGTCCACCACCACCTCTTCGTTGGCCAGCTCCATGCTGATGAGGGCCAGGAGTGAGTAGAGCTTCTCAAAGTGAGGCTGCACGCTGCTCTGTTCCTTACTGCACAGGTAGATGTGTCTATACAGGTGCTGTGCATGCTAAAAACAGAGAGATAGCGCTGTCAAAACACTTAAAACCATTCAGACATGCATGCGTTCTCTGATGCATACCCAACAAAAGCACTGATTCACATCAGAATAATAATGACAACAGGATGTTGAGAACTGATTAGAGGGATGTTGTACCTTCTTCATGAAGAGGTTGTCTTGGCGTGAGCACTTGTCCACTTTGAGTTTAAGCACAGAGATATCAGAGATGATACTGTATGGGGAAAAAAGCAACACATCATGAAACCATAGTAAAACTATGTTTGTTATATAAAGAGGAATTTTGATTCTGTTATCGATAGTCAAATCACCTGCAAATTTTAACGCATTTACCTTCTTTTGGACAATCTAATTGAAACTGAATATTCAATTAATGTAGCGCAAGGCATGATTTGATCAATTAGGTTTTGATGAGGTAGTGAAAAGGTATTAATGTTGGTTAATACTATTTCCCCACCTACATGGTTTTGGTTACATCAATTTGATTTTATTAAATACGATTATAAAAAAAAGTTTAATTCGTTTTATTTATATATATATATATATATATATATATATATATATTAATACAAATAAATAAATATCTATATAAATATATATATATTTTA